CTTTATCTGAATTGATTTCGATTCCCCGTTACCCCTGTTTCAGATATACATACCCTTATTGCATGGTACTAGAAAATTTTTCTAAAAACGATGGCCACCATCTTTGATTTCAAAATAGTGTCGGGCATCGATTTTCGATCTCTATACGTCATCTCCGTTCCGGAAATATCCATATATAAGGGTATTTGATTTGTATTGTCTTATATGGGGAATTTTCAGTAATGACAGCTGACGATGATGATCGGAGATGATCGCTATTTCATATGATCGTGATCTGTAACACAAATGATAATCGCATTATCATTTCCAGAACTGTCCGTTGTGATTTTTGAGTTTGTACTGATCATGAATGTAAACAAAATTAGAATGACATTATCTTTATCTAAATCGTAGATTTTGATTCCCTGCAATGCATTCGTAATATAGGTTTGTTTTATGTACATATGTGGTCCATAAAATAAATGATAAATAAATGTATTCAAATTAATTATTTAGTGATAAATCCGAGAGTGATATCAACCGAGTGTGAAAAAAATGAATCATAATAAAACCGAAATGCCACTGTATATGAAATATAAAGTTGGGAGCAGGCATAAAACATCATTTAAATTTATTTAGTGCAATCATTGACATTAATTTGCCTCTTACATTTTTCATCAGCTGATTTCTGTGAAATAATGTTTAAAGCTCCTGTAAGTTTTGTAATAAGCTACAACTTTTGTAAATAAAACCAGTAACGCTGGTAGATGACATTTTTGTGGTGCGTTGCTGGTATGAGATCTACCACTGTCTAGCACTGACAACTTCAAACGAGTGGAACAAAATTTTTCAGTAACCAAAGGAACACATTTTAGTCCTTGTTAGTAGTGACAGGACTAGGGTAGTGGCCATCCTCGTTAAGAATTTTTAGCATGTAGGGTTTTTGATCTAATTTCCGTCCTATTAAGTACAACCCGCGCTTAACCTCTCTTTTCTGAACGAGCTTAAACAAAAAATGGAATATTGACTTGTACCGTAAGATTTGATAAAGAGAAACCAATCGTTGAGATATTGTCAAAAATCTAACACTGCTTCTTGACGCCAAACTCGGCCTACGAATTCTAAACTCGGCCTAACGCATTGAAACGCCTTTGAAACGCAATTGAATTCACTTCGGCCTATCAGATGAAGATAAAAATTGATTCGATCGTAGCGCTTCTTTTGTTTTTGGGAATAATGGATGCAAACCTTCATATCACGCGTTCTCATTGACTTCGTTCGGTAGCTTATTAACTAAAGTACCGTACCAAACGCATAATTGACTTGTTAACTCTGAAATCATGGATTTATTTGAAGTTTTCTGCTCGATAGGCTCAAAATGGGCGATTAGGCCGAAGTAGTTCTCTACCCTATTGATCTTTTCTGATCGATAGAACGGAAATGGGCGATTACGACGAAGTAGCGCTCTACCCTATACTCCTGATAAATAAATACACTGGAGCCGCTTTTTACGCGGGGGATACGTGCCTAAATTACAAAATCCGCATAAAAAAACCGTGTAAAAAATCCACGTAAAAAGCGACTCTAGTGAATACCCGTAAATTCCGAAATCCGCGTAAAAGAAAAACCGCGTGAATTCCGGAATCCGCGAAAAAACGTGTAAAAAAACCGCGTAAAAAGCGACTTCAGTGTATCGTTTATGTTCTTTTGCCCTTTTCCTTTCCGTCTTCTCTTTTCAGAAAGTGAGTAATGGCACTATAACTATAAATCATAAAAGGCTAAGACGAGAGTTAGTGTCATGTCATGTCATATCCCAATCTTCCAAGGAAAACGGAGCATTACTCACTACTTTCTAGCCTAGATGCTTTCAACGATCAACCAATCATATAATTACCAAAAACGGAATGTACGGTACGAGATGTCCACGTTTAATCCATTTATTGGATTCTGAAGCATCGTGTTTAAATCTTCAACTTAAACAGGCCCGGTGTTTACTGAATCATCTTGCCCCTTAAACACTGCACAGTAGGCCTGGCCGGCTTGGTATGTGTTACGCATCTTTGATGTAAAACATATATCAAATGGAAAAGAAAAATTATGGAAGTAAATCCATCTTTTTCCAGGATGCTTTCAAGAACAGGCTGTGTTGGTGTTAGATTAGATTAGAAACTACAACTTTTGTAAATATCTCAAATATGCATGAAAAACCAGAGTGAAACTGAACGAACCACTGTTTTTTTAGTGAATGTAAATTACATTCACTGAAAACAGTTACAAAATCTGCACGCTCCTGTTCATCATGCATGAGAAATATAGATTTGAGTTATTCACAAAGGATGTAGTTAATATCAAAGCCTGCAAAGCTTCATATATGATTTAACGGAATTCTGCTGACGAAAAAAGTTAAAGGCAAATGAAATGCACGAAATGAAGGTAAATGATTGTCTTTGCCTGGTTGAAAGAAAAAAAAAGCTTTGGTGAAATAACTTATTATGCAGAGAAACTTCTGAAGAGGATATATTGATTGTTCCGTTAGAGTATGGCATTGTATAAATTGACCAGAAGTTTAAATTTAGCCAAGGGTCATTGATGCGACAATGCTAATCAAATGTGCACTCTTCTGCCTAGCTCACTTGATGGGTGAAGGAACTTGACGTATTTCCTCAAATCAACAAGCAATTCCACATATAATGTGGAGCGTTCCACATATAATGTGGAGCATTCCACATTTAATGTGGAGCATTCCACATATAATGTGGAATAGTTCTAGCAACACTTATCGCTACCTAAAGCTCCACGTTACCGAAAGGCGATGGTGTGCTATAATGCAACTCTTCTTTACCCAACTTTTGTTTGATTCTCTCGAAATTTAATCACGGGCCGAAAATCCATGCCAAGTCACCACACACTATGAAATTATTAACGACACCGGTTTTTTTTATCAAAACCTTAACAACTTAAAATGTCCGGTAAAGTATATGCCATTCAATTAAAAAATTTCAAAGCTATAACAAAACGAAAAATCCATTAAAATGACAAGATCTGATCATATGAATAAAGTTGAACGTGTTTTGACCGAACCATCGATTGTTAAGATTTTGGTTTAAAATTACCAAAGACGGTGATAATTTTTCAGTACTCAGAAATGGTTCAAAATGTGTTGATCTCAGATTGCTGATTTGTGTTATGGAATGGACTTGTCATAATTGGCAGTGATGAGGTGTATGCTCGAGAGTTAAGCAGCATATTTTGTTTTTCGATTGAAATGCTAATCCGAACCAATTTATCGGGCTTAATATCGAAATAATAAAAAAAAATAGATTCACTGATAGTGAACCTAATACTGAGTTCTTATAGATTTTATGGGAATAAAATAAAGATTGATAAAGAATATAAAATTGACTCGGTGAGCGCTGATTTACCAAACAACCAGAAGTCATATAACAATGTACAGACAGTATCGTAAATAACTACAGTTTAAGTCAACATCGCATATAAGTACGACATACATCGCATTATGTTTAAGTTGAATCGTATAGAATGCAAATTTCCGACTTATATGCAATGAATCATTTTTCCATCGTACTGTATCACAAATTAAATCTGATTACATCGTAAGACTTTTCAAATTGAATGTGTTATTACAGAATAAATCCATTTTTGTAGGTATAAGCCTTTTTTGCATTCTATACGATTTTATTGTTTGTATATATGTTTGTATATCACAGAAACAACTTTGAATATACGTGCATTCTGGTTGCCTGCGTTACTCAACATTTTGTGCACATTACGCATAGTCCAGTTGTTTAGAACCTGGACGCAAGAAATCAGCTCTATAGCGAGATTGATTTAACAAAAGCAATATGATAACTGATCAAATCGTAGATGTTTTATAGCACTTTCATAAAAGAATATCACAAAATAAATCCTTTGAGTTTTGAAAAATTCACGAAATTTTCTTGAAATTCCCTTAATTATTTTTTGCAGACTCTGATGTTCAACCTGATTAAGATCCTTTAATAACAATAGTCTACCGCATTTTTATTTAAATTTTTCAGGAAGCAATGGAGCTCTGACAATTTTAAAGAATTCCAAATTCTGTGTTTCAAAAACTAAATGTGATCTCATATGCAAAAAACTAATCCTCGCACCTAGTTTGGCTTCCATTTTCTTCCATAATTTTCCGAACGTTCGGCAACAACCTTTACAGAAATCTCAGCAAAAACTTCATTTGCTTACTGAGATTCAGCGAAACATTTTCCGAGATTCAGCAAACATGTCACGTGGCTAATATATTTTTAGAGTTACTACACATCACTCAGAAAAGTAATCTAAGCTAAAAATTGCGGGAACATTAAAAACGTAACGCGAAACTCAGCAAAAAAATAAATTTCAATTAGTTCAGAGTGAGGATGAACCGCTGTCTAAAAGTGGGCAAAAAAACATAATTTCATTTGAATATGCTGCTAGTTGCTTCATGCAACTTGAAGTCACTCAAGTAAGTTGAACAAACGCTAATTAAAAGACTTTAAACTGAAATGTCTTTTAATGGAAAGTCTGCTAACTGAAAGAAGCTTCAGTTAAAGACACTGATCGATAAAAATTGTGCAATACAGGATGGACTTCATTTTCGATTACTAACCTTTGTCACTCTGATCATCATTTTCTCGCAAACCACAACTCTATCATACAAATCAACATTACCAACAGATGGAGGATTGTCTTCTTTGTCCTATGGTAGTGTTTCTTTGCATTATTGAATGGTCAATTGCTATAAATCAGTGATGGAAGTGGCAAAATTCAATTACCGATAATCGAGTCCGACCTGTATCGAAATTCCAAACAAGATCTACAAACTTGCTTCTAAAACATCTCTACACACAATCCACAACCATTCATATCGAAAAGAAACGAAATTAATCGCTTCCCAAAGCCTACAACAAATCAAATTCTAATCTATACACGTACGACGAATCAACGGTATAAGCCACCAAACATCACCCATCACCAAATGTACTCACGGAGAAGATCAAATGCATAAACACGTGGAATGCCACGAACGCCACCAGAATGAAGTCCAACCATTCTGGAAGCTCAGCCTTCTGCAGTTTAACGGCGAAGAATATGGCAACGATTGCGATGATGTGAGCCAAGTTTCCAACCAGCCAGTGCAGCCAGTTGAACAGTGGCCGCCGCTTGGTACCGGGATGTGGCCGGAAAAAGGCACCGATCGGTTGCAGGAAGCACAGCACTGTAGTTACCATTCCCAGGATAGCATGTGGGTTATCAACCTGAGACCAGCCTCCAATTTCCACGAAAATGATAACAAATCCAGCCATGGTCAGCACCCAGGTCAGAACCATCAGGAATCTGTGCCACTGAAATAAGATGGAACCATTAATGTCTGTGAGATATTTCGTTTTGAGCGAATTGAACTCACAGCAAACCATTGATCCTTTCCGCACAGCTGGCTGCCGACCCAGGTTTGACGGAAGTAGCGAGCTAAGAGAATTCCCAGCGAGGCCGTGCCGATCCATGCGGTCAACATGAAAGCTCCATGCAGACGTAGCAGCAGTTTGGACATTCCCTGTACTGGACCGACTTCTGCCAAAGCTAGTGGAGCTCCCGATACGTGACGACCGATATCGTGATAGGACACGTGAGTCGCTGAAATGTTTGAAAGTTGTGTATTGAATATACTATCATTATCGGAGTTTCACTTACAATCAGCTTGAGATCCCGTAGCCAGCAGCAAATGATACTTTTCATTGATCATATCGAATTTCTGTCCCTTCACGGTAGAAACGGCGTCACGTTCAACCTTACAATGGATCATGCCATCAACGTAAGATTTCTCCAGCAATCGGAAAAAGTTCTGAGCAATACCCTGGCGAGATACACCATATGGACCGGCGAACGTCCAGGAAGCATAGGCATTAACGGTTCCCTGCTCGGGGACACATTCAATAACTGAATCGTCTCCCATTTTTGCATCGTTGGATAAACCTACGGCAACGTACGCTGGACGATCTACAATTGATTTAGGTTGTGAAATTTAAATCCTGAAAATATTAGCTTATCCCAAACTTACTGAAACCAGATTTCATTTCAAAAATATATCGCTCGCCCTCCACAACGGTGGCGACAACTGCACGGCAGTTACGGGTTTCTACACATCCCTCCGGGAATCCGAAGCAGCCCTTGTTTTCGCCACAGCCTTGGTAGATTGGGTCGGTAGTGTCAGCCTACGGAAATACAATGAATAAATGATTACCTCAACTATATGTTTGGTCACAAGCATTTAAGCATTACCGAAACAGCCTTGGGTGCAACATACGGTGGCACAGTGGTAGTTGTTGGAGGTTGTCTCGTTGTGGAGATTCCCACCACAGATGGAGGACTTTGGCCGCTTTCTACTACCTTAACCGGCGTAGATTCAATCCCGACCCAAAACTTATCATAATCCTGAGCAATGGTTGCGTTGAACACAACTTCCCCCTTGAAGCCGGCCGGAGCGATCCACTCCAGAGCCAGATCCTTTTTGGTCTGCGTGTTCGTGTGGGTGGCGGTATTAGCTTCTCCGCCGCAGTTGATCAGTTTGACGGCACTCTCGTCAGTCAACTCGAACTGGCCGAGCACTTCATTCGGTGGGAAACGATTGCGGGCCTGAATCATGAAGCCCTTGAACACAACATTGGCGGGGAAGGATTCGATTTCGACCTGCAGCTCCTGGCCGCTACCGACCACCGATGTGACCGGTGTTATCCGGAATGGTGAAGTGGTCGTCAGTGGAGGAATGCCACCTCCGTGGAATGGAAGCATCGTGTTGCACACGCTCACCGGAGCACCATTTGGCAGTGTGATGATGGGACCGATCAGTACGCTGAGCACTAGGGCTATGCTCAGCAGGGGCTTCATCTTGGGTCACGTCTGTAAACGGGGGTAAGGGAGAAGAGTGTTGATTAGTGAGGATATGTGGGTTAGAATATTGCAGTAGAAAGTCCTATTTGATTGTAATACGTATAATTTGTTTTTAATCTTCTTCGTAACAACGTCCCAACATAAACGGTATGCTTGCCCCCAACTTGCACTTCCATAACTTTCACATCACTTTTTAATAGATCCTCTACATTGATATATTCTCTTAATCGACTCTCGCTTTCGTTCATAACTCAGTAGCAACTACAGAATTTTTGGGTGCTTGGTTATATGTACCTTGTTTTATGAAAATATGTGGCTTAAATAGCAGGAAAAGTGATTGTTAGGCCATGGTCATCCAAAACGAAAATCAATTATGAGAATCGAGCAATGTAGATAGGACCTATTTTAAAAATTATTCAAGAATGATATGTTCATGCCAACTACTATGAACTATGTTTCGTCAACTCTGTGCAAGTTATTAGCAAATGAGCAGTTCGTGAGCAAAATTGTGTATGCCAAGCATGACTTCAGTTATTCTTGGAACTCTAGTAGCGTCCGTCTAGCACGTGGTGTCTCAAAATTGCTAGAGTGAGGAGCATTGTTTTTATTTGTCAATAGGCCAAATACAATTGGAGACTGAATTGCACTAGTCCGAATGGATTGAAATTCTGATATCTTATAAACCAAAAAGTATTAGTATCTAAGCCCAGTATTTAAATTATTGCCTATAACACCATTCTTAATGATTTTCAAAAGATTAGAAAACCCAAATCCTTCTATTTTTGTCTTGGATCCAGAATCTTGAACATCATTCAATCTAACATGCCGAATATTCCTCTGAGCCTCTCAGTTCACTCTCAATTGAAGCGATGCCAGATCTGCAAAATTTATTTGCGTTGATCTTCCTATCACGTTATTGACAATTTTAAGACTCGATACAAGCTATTGCTCAGCCGCAATGTTTTTTGCGTTGAAAAAAATCGAGATGTCCGTAGAAGTGAAGAATGCAATTCCCGACCATCAATATAAACAGGCACATCACATATTGTAAACAAATATGTAATACCCTTCACCCACGAGCCGAAGCTTGCCCATGAAAATTAAGAACACAGAATGTTTCCCTACCCGATGATGTGGTTGGTTTGCGTGGGTGAGCTTCGGTTTGTGAGAAATTGGCATTACAAGATAGGTTTGCAAAAGCTGATGATTTATTTTCTATTGCTGGTCGGGAATTTGTTTCGAATTCCAAATAGAAGCGTAATGCCAATCTTAAAACTGAAAATGTAGTGAAATATTTGGATGCGAATCCCATTCAGATGGAAGCAACTTATAGGATTGCGGAAGAGAAAAAAAAATAATCACGCACAACAATAAATTCTGCATGCATTGGCATTATATGTAGGTGGAAAGTGGAGGCACACATGTCCTATGCTGGGAATTACGTTCAATATATTCTCATAAATATCTCAATCAGCTCTTGCAGAAGAGAAATTCCGTTGGTCAAATGTACAGTAATAATTCCCGAATGAAAAATAAGGGGATTCTGCCTCACTTGCATTGTACCGCAAAAAGTTCATTTCAGTGAATTGTCTACTGTAATCAGTTTTAAGCAATTTAACTTTATACATATGTTTAAGCGTTGGTCTTCCATCGGCAGGTACTAATAAGCCAAGCGAATATCGGGAGATTTCGCAAACTTTTCCAACTCTGTGTGCGTGTGTAAGATTTACCACTGGAGAATATGCAAAGTGTATACATGACTAACCCTCCTCGCTTAATTTCGATAATTGTATGATGGACATAAAAATCAATTCTTCTTACGCTCCTTACACGGGATGAATCCCGAACGCAAGTGGTTCGTAAGCAGCTCGGAAGGCTAGACCAGGACAAAGAACAGAGCGATAGCATATACGATAGTCGTAGATACACTGGTGTGGCAGTGGCTGAAGGTACATCGTTGGACAGCAGAGTAAGGCAACAGATGAAGTGTTAGCGGTGCTGGATGAAGAGGACGTAAATATGGACGTGGTGACTCCAGAGACCGATAAAGTAAGCAAAAACAATGCCCATAAGCCACTGAACTATTAAAAGCAACGGTATAAGCGGTTTGTGAATGAGGCGGGATACGAAGTGCTACAAGTAGGAGTATTCCCCCCTACATAAATGAGAACTTATATAGGTTATCAAATAAACAAACAAGGAAAAATATTCCTCTTAGTATGAGATCTCAAAACTTTATCAAAGCGTTTATAAATCCCAGATTTATTTCTAATTCTGTGGTATCATTTTTTTTATATCGATTCTTAAAAGAAATCAAAGACCAAAATATCTGAGATAGAGGTCTTAAAATAATTTCAGATTCACAAACTAAGATTATTTTTAAAAAATATTTATAACAAGTACACTTGATTCTGTATTTACGCATTTTTATTTCGCTCCTATTTTTTAACGTGTGATATAAAATTGAATCCATATTTAATGCAACTTGTTTCAAAAAATCAAAAAAAAATCAAGTGGCAATTAAATCGCAATATTAAAAAAAAATGATAAACAAAATAAAGTGCATTTAAATCATCAAATAATTCTCTCAAGTTTCAGAAGACTAAAAAAATGGTGTGTTACCTCGTAAATTTTACCCCTGATCTCAATTAACGTCTTGCTCAAGACTTCAGGTTCAATAATTTATGTGAACAAATTTTCACTCTTTTCAACCATTTGGTGCAATTCTGAGACAACAAAAGGCTTTCCAGATCTCGAACTTTTTTTCCCATCTCCTAATTTGATTTATTGTAGTATATCACGTGTCCTTAGTTTAGTGCATGCCGTATTTACTCCCTCACTATTGAGAAATTATGAAGTATTCGGTTTTGATACAGTTGTCATTATTTCCTTTATCACAAGGAATCGATTCTAATTGAAAGGTTCCCAAGGGTGTAACGAAGAGCGAGAGCACCCTCCAAAGGTGCGCCCCTTTGTCAGTAAAAATTGGATTCCTTAGCAACAAAATTAACGAATAACACCGATAATGACCATGCATGAGAACCGTAGTCTTAACCACTTCAAACTAGGTAACATTGAATAGAAGATTAGGAATCACATATATGAAGACAACTAACTCATTTTTTCCTTGTTTAAAGATCATCCTCGTTGGACAAAGCCGAGTCTTGTCACTATCAACAAGGCATAAAAAGTTACAAGGACTAATACGTGGTCCTTTGATTACTGAAAAATCCAGTTCCCCTAGTTTAAAATAGTAGGCAGTGTTGGCAAAATCAGAAATCAATTGATATTTTTCCGCTCTCATGGGCTCGCAATAACACGCGTGATATTGGAACAAAATATCATGCTTGATATTGATTTTACAAGCTCCTTTGATATTGCGAGACTATTCACAACGTGCAAACATCAAGCTGAGAGTTGACTCGTCACATAAACGATTCCATTGCACATCGTTTTCTAAGAAAGAGAAAGTAAAGTTTGCTATCTCTTTTTACTCTTCACCGATGGCAGACGCGAAGGGACTGCTGCAAGCCGTTATGGAAGTTTCGGTTGCATTCGGGTGTAAAGCAAAAATCATTAAACTCAATCTCACCACAGTTTGGTGAGATTTGCAGTTGGTGAGTTTTGTTAGCTTGATATTCTGAGCTGCGATATCACAGCTTGCAAAATCAACCGTAGTTGTTTGATTGTTGATTTTTGTCTACGAAAATCAAGCATGATCTTGGGATTTGGTGAGATTTGATTTTTGATATTTTCCCAACACTGGTAGTAAGGACTAGGAATCGGTGGTAAATCTTACATCCCGTAGCGTAACACGAAAAGGTGATCTACCCACGTTACGGAGTAGATCTCGAACTTAAAAAATATCAAAATTCAAGAACAAGGATTTTTTTGGCGTCATGGACTGTAAAATATGTTTAAGAAATTATATGAATATTGTTGAAACTACAAAACTATTGAAAATAGAAAATATTTTCTACTAATATTTGTAACGGAATGCATCCTCTCATTCCTCCTATCAGGGGGTTGCCATCATTCAACTATGTAAGCTTTCAGAATTTTGAAAATATTAAGAACTCTGTATAAACTTCTAGGATTCTCGAAAGAGGATTTGATAGATCATTTGTAATATAATCATGATACGATCTACCTCCGGAAACAACAATAATTGTAGAGTATTGAACTTGCTCAGTGATACTTCTAGAGTGAAAACCGGGCTATCGATGTTATTCCTCAGAATATCAAACACAACCAGTCAGTTGAAATTCAATCATCTTACTAAAAGCAGATCTTTTAGTCGACTTTGTTCCGGATAGTCCAGGAGATGAACAGGATTATGTCATTCATACTAAAGCACAGAATGAAGTTTGCAGTACACAGCAAAAAATAAATTTTAATATTACATCCAAGAGGATGCACTTCAATCATGTTGAAAATCTCATGTAATTTTTATAGCCACACAAATAAACAAAAGCAGTAAAAGCAGCGTAATGTCATTTTATGAATGATAATTTTGTACTTTTTGGGAAGTAATATTACACCATATTTTCGACACGATTGTTATGTTTTTGTTGTGCACAATTCAATGCTGGAGGTGGCTGGGTTCAATTCCCAGTCCGGGTTAGGAATTTTTTGGATTGGAAAATTTCTCGACTTTCCTGAGTATAGAGTATGATTGTACTTGGCACGCAATTATAATAATGCAAAAATGGGAACAGGCATCGAAATCTCATAGTTAATAACTGTGTAAGTACACCTAGAACACTAAGTTTAGAGCACGCAATAATCTAATATGCGATATGCAATATGCGATTCATTGTGACGAATGAACTCAAGAAGGATGAAAGCTTTGACAGTAACAGATATGTTCGTTGAATAAAAGCAGCTAAGAACTTTCAAAACTCAGCATCACTCCAAACTACAGGAAATTTCATGTATCTGACAATCTTTAGAACTATTAAGAGCTCTTATACATTTCGAAACTTTGGTAACTTTCAGACCGAAGTTTA